AACAGAATTAGTAGCTTACTATTCAAACATAAGGGCCAATTTAGCAAAATTGTTTGTATAAACTAATTTTCTCATGACACATTTTTTTCTTTTTGAATTTTGATGCTTATTACTAGTTTATTCTATATATTAATTATGTTAATATGTTTATGTTTTTTTGTTGAATAACATAATAAATATATGTATAGAAATAATATAAAAAATACTATGGGTAAGATACAGAGTCAGAGAAAGGTTGAACAATTTCCATCGGCTCCAATATCAGCACTTGAAAAATGTAGGACCAATGTAAGCATATATGAATAAAAAAGAAAACTAATATAAAAATAATATTTTTATATATTTTTTATGAATTATAAATTTAGCCCATAGGGTAAATTGAAATATATTCAAAATTCTTAAATTGCAATGAAGTCCTTTGAGTTTATCTAATTCTCAACTTGATGCCCAAAAAAAGAAAATGAATTTTACTTCTAAATTTCATAAATCTGTCTATTCAACTTTCATTCTTCATCTGCTGCGAGTCGACCACTTCGCGCGACGCCTTATGGCGGGTCTCGACGGTGGTGGCCGGTGGTTGGTGTCTGCGGGAGGCGGCGGAGCTCGATGGTCGGACTGCGCCTGGAGGTCGCCAGCTATTCCGTTCGTCGGTGTCGGGTTATGCGCCTTGGTCACCGGTTGCTATCGGATGGGTCAGCTTCACCGGAGACGAGACGAGCCGCGGTGGCCGGTAGAAGGGCAGTGACAAGACTGGGTTTGTGCGAGAGAGAAAGAGAGAGAGAGAGAGAGAGAGAGAGAGAGAGAGAGGGAGTGAGAGAGAGAGGGAGAGATTGGAGAGGGATAGTGGTGGCAGAGATTCTCCGGCGGCTGCGGTGCGTCACTCCGGCGGTGGCAGGATTTTTTTCCGGCGGAAGGGTCAGATACTTCTGCAAACATCCTCTGTCAAAAGTTGTGTGTGTGTGTAAGAGGGAGTGAGAGGGGGAGAGAGAGACACGTGAGTGAGATGGAAAAGTTGTGTGGGGATGGGGCCCAATAATGTAGATGATTTTTGAAATGTCTAAATTACCCTTAATGAAGTATAATTTTGACTTTTTTTTAGTCATTAGATCGTACGGTGTATTCTTATTTCTTTCATTAAGTACCTTTCTCACTTGAACCCAACCCTATATATATATATATATACACAATATAATAGTGGGTCCTGGGGTAACAGATGGCCCTGGACAGTCGCCCGGCCCACCCTACCCCAAGGCCGACCCCGCTTTGAGGTTCAGTGTCCTTACGTCATTTTGTTAGTGATAATTTCTTGATCTATGATATATGTATAGCAAACAAACAGAATTAGTAGCTTACTATTCAAACATAAGGGCCAATTTAGCAAAATTGTTTGTACAAACTAATTTTCTCATGAAACATTTTTTTCTTTTTGAATTTTGATGCTTATTACTAGTTTATTCTACAATCTATAGATTTCAAAACTATCTTAGTTGTGAATACTATTTTATATCTTAAGAAACTGACAACATGGTTTTTGTGACTTATAACACATCACACGAATACCGACTCCAATATCCACTACAAAAAAATGGATAAAAATAAGCCATAAAGCATGTTTCAACAACTAGAGCGAGGGGTGTAGAGTTGTCCTTGAGAGTACAATCAAACTCAAGTGCCTTGAAATGCTTGGCTTTCATGAAAAGTGATTGATATATATTGCCCCTGCCTCGCCCTCTCCTGTTCGGCTTTATGTTGGGGTTGAAAAACGGCGGCTCCTCCGACGAGGCTAGTCAGTTTGGTTTCTCGGTGTTTGGTCTCTCTCTAGACTAGTAAGGTTTTTAGGGCTCAGATCAGAGCTCGATTTTTATCTCCTCACCATATTTGGTTAGTTGTTCGAGTCCAACGGAGTTTTCAAATCTGGGGCTTTTGATCTACGATCTGTTTTTAGTTTTTGGTTTTGAGGATTGGCATGTGTGTTCGGGCATGTGGCAGTAGCGGTGGGCTAGCAGAAGCATGAGAGGTTTTATTCTAATTTTTTAGTTGTGTTTT